CTACTCCCTCCCACCCCCACCTCCAAAACCACCTCACCGTAGCCCACCGTGAGAGGTACTAAAAACTTTCTCTACTCTGCGGAATACTGCTAGAGTGGCAGAAAAGAGGAAAAAAGACAACTTCTAGTCTAATGAGTTACAAAAATGCCTGGGAGAAGGGCACGACCTCAACATACATAATAGGTCCGACTTTTAAGAACCTGACATCGGACGGTAAAAGATTGCAGCCAATGGAAGAAGGTTGTTAAGGCCGTTCTCAAACTCAAAGTCGATCGCTGGTGTAACTTGTAAGACCCCGCAATTTACTACGTCATATTGAAAATCAAATTGACGTTTGACGGAATCTTATACTGAGCGACCAAAACGGAAGTGGCGTTGCCAGATCATTTTTTCAAACTTTCAGCCAGATGTGTGTTTGAAAAACTGCCAAAACTTGTGCAAAACTGCCAAACGTCAGCCTTGAAGGAAATGTCTGTGTTGAACACGATGGAAAAGTCAACTCTTATCGTTCATCAGCGGATGCCGCTAATACTCATAGATGTTCAGGGATTCCCATATACAGATGATAAGGAGAATTAAACTGCCAAAAAGCTGCTAAACTGCCATGAAACTTTCTTCCTGCTAAACGGCTTTAAAAACTGTCAAAATGTTTACCTTTGGCAGGAAATCTGCCAAACTGGCAACCCTGGAAGGAAGAGAAAGACGTACATGTAACAGCAACGTAACCGCAACACCTGAACAGACTCAGAATTAATGACGCAGAAAAATTCACATATTTTATCCTCTTGTAAGCTTATTTGCAGCCTGTAATTTTACTGATATGGATTGAAATTACCACGTCCATCTTCATCACGGAACATAGACACTAGACTAATACACTAGAAAGTGTATCGTCTGTCGTGGCAGAACTGTGCCTACCACTAACAATGATGGGGGAAATGGAGTCATTATTCAAGTGTACTGCAATACTCTAATGAAGCTCCTGGTCTTTGCAAATAAAGAAAGTAAAGGTACATTATAAATTATTCAATATTGCTTGCTGAAGGAGACTTCCCTCGCATCATGACCATCATCAATGATTTATTTATAGAGGCACCAGCCATCCATGCCCTCGCATTATATATCAATAAGAAAAGAGACGTAATAACCCACCTTGCAATAATTTATAACCGAATTAACGTTGACACGATCACTCTGGCCTGACTAAACACAATCAAGACATCATACCTTCCTTCACGGCAGCCACAGATCAACACACGCAGGTTATTTCCCCTGAGTTTTAACTCTAAATCTCCCATAATGCCCCAGAGGATGCGCGGGCGTTTTACGGGCTTCCGGATTTTCCGGAACATTCGAGCAAGTTCCTGCAAACGATAAATCTGGGGAGAGCAGCTAACGGCCTCATAAAGAGCCCACATTTGGCGTACGTCCAAGCCTGACGTTGTGAGATTCCTGATTTTTACTCTACCTCTGCGCACCTCAGCTCGTCTGCCCAGTCTCCAGACTCCAGATTTATTTTTCTTTTTATTCTTTTTTTAAATTTGATTTTTCGGGGTTCCTCTGAGAGCGAGAGGTTCATTTTCCTTATTGCTGACTCTCTAGTGGGTCTTAGGGTAATACGTAACTGGTTAATTGTTGTTTAAATTGGTGGGCGCTCCTTTAGTTACGTTTGTATCGTTACCAACTTTACGACCAGGCACATTCTGTGTGTGCGTATGTGCGTGTGTGTGTGTGTGTGTCTGTGTGTGTCTGTGGGTGTCTGCGTGTCTCTGTGCTTTCTTCTCCTTCTTCTTCTTCTTCTTCTTCTTTTCACGGGCGTTACTGGACGGTGATATAATAGACCCTTCGTCGCTGCCCACAAAAGACATGTTTGAACACCTCGTACTTTTTATTTTACATATTCTAAAGTTGTTTCGTTAGGGTAGCAAAATTTAAAACTACTTCCGTTTTTGCATTGCAAAAATGAGAGTTTTAGTGTTTACGGCACATGGAACACAAATGGGTCATATTAGTGCCGAAGATTTATTAGAGGTGAGATGTTACAAGTAAGTAACACACAAAGAAAAGAAGGAGGAGAGATCAGATAAGGACGACACATGTTTGATAGGAAAGAAGACGCAAACCACCAACATAGCTACTTTAAGATAAATCTGTACTATCTTTTCCTCCTCGCCAACGTCGCTGTAACGACCGACTTGTTAAGTGAGCACTGTGCCACTGCTACAACACACCACAAATCATCTGCTGGTAGCAGTCTGTCACGCCGGCAGTCGACGCCATTACTGACCGGAAGCGGAACTAATAACATGTCTGCGAGTACTCCGAGTAGTCACGAGCGCTATATTTATCCTCAAACGCTTTAATCTACGACTTAACCCCTTCATTGCTGAAACGCGTATCTTCGTTTGTACCGGTACAGTAAAATGCTTATCCAAGAGAGATTCGACTAAATCCATAGTACCTGCCATCTTATAATAGAATAAGCAACTGCACAAGGGATAGTTACATTTCTTGAACCTTCCATTAAAGGCCAATTTAAGAAAATAGCAATGAACATGTTTTGGGGGACACAAGGGAATACATACGTCCTCGCAGCAGCAGTGAAGAGGTTAAGGTTACAAGGTTCTATACTAACATTGTACTTGTTTTGACTATTTGTTGTTGTGTTCTGTCAGCTCCTTTTGGTACATTTGTGACAAATACTACAACTTTTACGTAGCTTACCTGATACTTTTTTAGATTTTGGAGCATAGCTGCTGCATCCTATATTATTGTCCAAAGCACTTTAAGTGGATAAAATAAGATTATAAGATAGCAATTTATTTAGCTCCTCAAAGAGAAATTTGCTATTGGTTGGTAAATGCTTACACGCATACGAACTTCCCATCTCTCGTTCTCCCTCCCCCTCTCTCTCTCTCTCTCTCTCTCTCTCTCTCTC